TTGTTACACCATTTGGAGCTTGGTTTTATGAGTGGAATTGAGGGTTAAATGAAAGGAAATGAGTTTCTTCAAATCATTTTAGGTCGGACAATTTCCAACTTTGTATTTTGAATGTCTTTTCTAATTTCTCCAAACATTTGACTATAAGTGATACTTTTGTGCTTTAAATGCCTTTTGTAACGTTGATTAGTAAAGTACATGAGGTTTACTCCTCAATTTGGAACAAGCAAATATTTTTTTTTTGATAGGTTATACGGGTATAAAACTTGTAAATTGATGCATGTTCTAAATAAAGTTTTGGAACCTCAATTTCTTCATATATCTTGGCTTTGTATTGCTAGTCTTTTACTATAGTATGTGACCATAGGACTCGAGAGAGTTTAAGGGGACAAACCAGGGTTAAAGTGAAGGGTTGCAATTGATTGGTGAGTGTTCCAACTGTGTATTACATGCTCCTTGTTGCTAGAAGTTGCTAGTTACTTGATTTATTGTCTCATAGGCAAGTGTGTACTTTTATCGCACTTGACCTAACTCGACTAAACATTCGATATTGTGTTAAAACATATGCTGGCCAATTTGTACAACTGAAATAGGGCCAGATACCGGCTCGGGCAATAAGTACTCAAAAATTTTCTGCCTTCCCTATCAATCCGGCCTTGAATCCGGCCAATATTTGGTCGGATTTGCTGAGAAAATTTTTTATTTTTGCAGTTCTCCAGTTTTCTTGTTTGATCCGGTTTTCGTACCTATCCAGTTTTCAATTGTTTGGATTTGAAATACTTGAAACATGATATGCTAAGCTTATTTGTGATTTGAGCTTGTTTAGGCGAGTGTGTTCTTAAGTGCACTCAAATGACCTGACTTGACTAAACACTTGATATCATATTTATGCATGAACCAGTGACTTGATTGGTATGTGACCTGTATATTGATTTAAAACACTTGGGACGCTTGAGAACGTGAATTGCTGAACATTACTTGTGACTTGATTATGGCTAGGCGACTGTGTCCTTATTCGCACTCGACCTCCATGAACTTGAATCAATCGATCCTGTGTGTGGACTTGCATGTTTATGTGCATGGTTGTCGACCGGCTGCATTCCTCTTGCAGCGGTTGAGTTGTAGACCAGTTGCATTTCTCTTGTAGCGGTTGAATAGTAGACCAGCTACTACCCTCTTGTAGCGGTTGAATTGTAGACCAGCTACATCTCTCTTGTAGTCGTTGAACTGGGCCTTGGACCCTATCCAAGACGCCGGGTAAGTGAAAACTAGGGTTACTCATGCATATGTGTGAATGTAGGTCGGCAACGACTGAACTGCGTCCTCGTTGGGCCTTTTGCTTTAGACTAGGCTTAGAGTGGTCGAGTAAGTTAGGCAATCTTGGATAAAGGACAAGTTCCTAACCTGTTTATTCTGGATTACTGAATACGGAGCGTTAAGTGACAACTAACGTCTTCAATCTTTTTCTGTATGAGCGTTGGATAACAACCAACGACTCCATTTCTGATTATTGAATACTTGGGGCTATAAGCCAGATTCTGAATTTTTGTATATCTGGGACTATAAGTCCAACCCAGGGCTAGTTGGTCGAATCGAGCCGACAAGGTTTGGTCGAGAAGATCGACGAACCTTAGGTACTTCTTTGACGTTCGAGCCCGGTAAGGGATATGTTTGGTAGACGGAATTTGGTGTAAAGTGGTGATCTGCGAACATTATACTTTCGTGATTGACGGAGAGTCAATGGACCTTGATCAAACTGCAGTGGAACTTGCTCCTAAGAGCAACCTATATCCTTTACCATGAATATGCTCTTTACTGTACACTTTTGCATGATCTGTTTGGCTACTTGCTTAACTAGATACTGGATCATGATCTATTTGAGTGTGACTTGTTTTCTTGATATCCGGTATATGGTATCTAGTCTAATGTTTTACCTGCTTGGTCATTTGGAACCTCACTGGGCTTTTACCTCATTCCATGCAATTTGTTTTCCTTACAGGGATGAGAACATGAGAGATTGAATTGAGGAAGCCCTCGATTTCTTCTAAGTCTGTTAGTCGGTCAAGCGAGTACTTCATAGATGTCTAGCCAGCTTGTTTGGTTTGATTTTTTTTTTCAAGTTGACTTCTTGGCTGTAATATAGATTGTATGGACACTGGAGATCCATGAGTGTATATGTAAAAAGTTGTAATTAATATCACTTTTATTTGTAAAATTTCCTGATACGTCACTGAGTCCTGGCGAAAGCTAAGCAGGCAGTCCGTCAAACCTTTGGGTACGCTCTAGGGGAGGTGGGGCTGTCACACAAACCATGGTAAGGCTTTTTTGAGTGATAGAGAATTTTGGATTAATATATTTCAGTAGGATGATGTGGCAACTTGTGCACCACTTAGTCAATAAGTAGGGACGTACACTGAATTTGCCCAAGTTCTTTCCTTTACTCTAATGGCAAAGTTAAAACTTAAAAAAAATATTAAATTTACTTTTTAAAATACAGGCACTTAATCTAAAAATGAAAGACAAAGCGGAGGCCAATTTATAACGTTATACATATTAAATGCTATTGATGAGAAGGGGGGAGAAGGATTTGATTGGATGGTAAGGAGAGAGAGATTATAAGTAGGAGGTTTTAAATTTAATTCCTCCCACTTATTATAAAGAAGGTGCTATTAATCTTTTCCAACCATAATTTTTGAAGAAAAGAAAAACTAGCCCTAGTCTCTTTTCTCAATCTTTTTGGAAATAATCACTTATGTCATTGCAAGAGTACTTTGGGGATCCTGAATTGAATCTATAACAAAACTAGTTAATTTTCCCTTCTTAATTAATACTAAGGAAAGTTTTTGATGTTATCTATCAAATAAGATTGGATATTCCTAAATCAAGAACGGAGGTCAGTGATGTTTTCAAACACTAGAGGGGAGGTTAGTGTAATTTACCCTTTTTTTTTTTTGGTTTGGTACTATAATCCAGACAACCTGAAATTTTGACCCATATTATTATCTTACGATCTAATAAAATGTGAGAAGGGATTCGGTATTAACAGGATTTGGTGTTAACAAAAAGTGTCATTAGTTGGGTGGTAAGAAGAGAAGGATTGTAAATAGCAGGTTTTGAATTTAATTCCTCCCACTTATAAAAAAGAAGGTGCTATTGATCTTTTCCAGCCATAAATTTTGAAGAAAAGGAAAACTAGCCCTGGTCTTTGGGAATCCGGAAGTGAATCTATAACAAAACTAGTTAATTTTCCTTTCTTAATTAGGACAAAGGAAAGTTTTTGATGTTATCTATCAAATAGAATGGATATTCCTATTACTATGAAATCAAGAAGGGAGGTCATTGACATTTTCAAACATTAGAGGGGAGCTTAGTGTAATTTATCCTTTTTTTTGCTTTGGTACTACCATCCTGACAACCTGAAATTTTGACCTATATTATTATCTTATTATTATACAATTAAGCATAAGTAAGGATTTGGTGTTAACAAAAAGTGTCCTTATTTATTATGCTAATAATTTCCTTTGAATATTTACCATTATCTATCTACATTTTCTTTAGAAAACCTCCCACTCCTACATAACTATTACCATATAGCTATCATTGCACTCGTTGATTAACTGATTAACTAATTCATTAATGAACATTGCATCACCTCCCAAAAATCTCTCTAACTAATTTTTTATTCTATATCATTTTTATTTGATTTTTTTTCTAAAATATACACACAGTTTATGCCCCATCCACTAGTCCAAATAAAGGGTGGGCACAAATTGAAAAAAAAAACAAATTGAAAAGTCAAAATTTGTTTTAAAGCCCACAGCGTTACTTTTTCTTAGAATCGAACTTTTCGTCCTTATAAGTCATTTTCAACAAGCAAACACAGGGTCGTCGTGGAATTTGAAATGATAACCGGTGAAGATACACCTTTCAAATAATATATTCTTACCCACTTCTTCCATAAACTAGAAATCAAGTCAAACATGTTTTTCGAGTTTCTAAGTAGGGATAATTTAAGATTCCTCCCCTAATGTTTCTAACAATTTCATTATCCTCTTGTCAGGTTTTGAAATTATCACTTACCTTCTTTATGAGCAATTTGGAAGTTGGAAATATTTTATGCATATTTATAGAGAGAAACAATTAAAAAAATTGGTATATAAAAATGAAAACAACAGTAGGTGCATTTTTTATTAAATAAATTGATAGATAAAGGAATTATATATGATGTACCTGATAAATAAAAGGATTAAAACATAAAATATAATTGAGATGTTTACAAACTAAATTAATCATAATTTGATTATGTTAAAATTTAATTTGGCATTAGAAAAGGACCTAATACTAGGCTAGCTTTTCTTATGTACTTGACGGTCTAAAGAAATTGGACGTTCTTCTTATTATGATGGTGATAACGAGAATCTTAATATATGAAAAAGAAATTTTCTTTTGTTAAATTTCGAAAGTCATTTCTTTTCAGTTGTAGATGATAGAAATTTCTTTTTAATCAAATATAACAATGGCCCCATGAGTGAAATAATAAATTAGATCAAATAATTGAATTAACTATTATTACAGGTGAGGGGCGCTTTTGGAATCAAATGAGATTCTCACATCTAAAATCATATTTTTATTCTTGCTTTTTTTCTTTTGAATTGGGTAAATTGTTACAAGCATATAGGTTTTAAGGGAAGTTAGTCATATTTTCAAAACTTTTGGGAATGGCAGTCAAATTGTTAAAAATCTGATGGGAGGCTTCTTAAATTACTCCTTTTTAAGCATACCATTCACTTTCAGCTGGCACGTCCTACAAAATATCTGCACTGCAGTCCGCATTTGGGAAATTAATTCAAACCAAGATATCCCAAATATTTCCCCTAAGAATTACTTTGGATGCAAATACTAAAACTCTAAACAGAAATGATGTTTATGATTCTTTAACAAATCAAGAAATAGATGGACCAACTATTTTTCCCCTTTTATGGATCAGAATTTGTACTTACCAGTATGTTCAGCTTGCCGTCGAAGGTGGAAGAGACATTCTTCATTAGTTCCTCTCTTTCTGGTCTTGAAGCCAAATCGCAAGTTGAACCATAGACTTTGTAACCCTTTGCTCCCCATTCTTGCAGCCTTTCATTAAGTTCCTTTTGGTTTCTTGAACATGTGTATACTATGGCTCCAAATCCTGCTAACTCTTCCACTATGGAATGCCTGAAATTTTGGGTCAAATAGTTAAAATGGGGACACGCATTTTGAATGTTGCATTAAAGCTACTAGGGCCATAATCGCACATATATACTAGAACAAATGGAGGAAGCAGGGATTTATGTATACGAAACGATATATGACCGTGATTGAGTTGGTTTTTCTGCTCATTAAAAGTTGTCCAATTGGTTCTTAACAGTTAACATACCCTTTTGAGGAGTGCATGAAAAAACTAATGTTGAAATGAATTTACTAATTTTTTGATATAAATATAAAAACCAGGAACTATATTTGAAGAAATTTGCTTACCCAATGCCTCTGGTGCCACCAGTAACAAGGGCAGTCATTCCATTAAGAGACCATCTGCCACTCAATTGTTCACTTGCCATGCTTTCAATGGCTTCCGACTGGGTTGAGAAAAACGCAAGCTGGAAGGAAAGAAATGACCAGATGGCTATCTTATCATGACAAAGATGCAAGGATAGATGATACCTGTATATGTACGCTACTTGTTAATCCACGAAAAGTACTTGAGGTTTTGTGGGATCAAAGGTCAGAGTTTTGAATTTTATCTCCTATCAATTATCACTTTATATAATTTTTTTAAATTCAGCATATGTCAAGGGCATTCGTCTAATCCAAAGATAGTTTAGTCTCTTTCTATTCTTAGTGATCCCATTGAAATTGTCCTCTTCCTCATTATTTAGGAGCAAGAGTAGGTAAAGACGTAGATTATTGATATTTGACAAAAAATATCCTCCAAAAAGATAATCATTGAAATCTATAATCCATCACAATATTGCACTTAAGATAATGGTCAGTGGGCTGGAGCCCAATGGCGTAAATATTTCAATGGATAAATGTGGTTTTATTGACTAAGATTCCACTGGGGCCTCTAACTTTGATTTTGATAGCTAAAGTAAGGGCTACTTACATTGACTTCTCTTAAGGCTCAATCAAACTGCTAAATACATCGTGAGGTTTCCTCAAATAACAGATACCCCTTGTTTGACAAAAAAAAAAAAACAGATACCCCTTGAATTTAACTTCTATTAAATATCATGAACAGAACCTGGCGAAAGGCCAATAGCCCACAAGAGTTACGAGCTACAAGAGTATAATTTTGAAAACCAAAACTTATGACTTATCAAATGACTCGTATCCTTTTTGGAGGGAAAAGTCATAATTGCATTCTTATTCTTCGCCACAACCAGATTACTATTAGATTTAGCCGACGCAAAATCTCTCTATCAAATTCTGGTAGGTGTAAACCCAAGCCCAATTGAAGTCAGATTCTGTCACCTGAAGGCCGAAACAGAAACAAGAGTTATGAGCCTTCTATTATACATATCTGGGCCAATTGAACAGATTCAATTCTGGGCTACCCCAAAAATGTGGTGGTAGTGGAATTGGAGAGAAATCTGTTTCTCCTTCACCGATGAGCAGGATATGGAAAAGATCTTGAATTGGAGGCCATATGTAGTGGACAGCCAATTGCTTAACATCCAGTTGTGGATAGAACCGTAGAAGGAATTGACAAAGAAGCGACTGTGTTTGCTAAAGCTCAGACAGGTTTGGAACTTGTCGGTTCACTGGATCACAAAAGAAATTGAGTGGAGAATTGGTGGGGTCTTTGAAGAGCTGGAAGATATAATCATCCATTTGGAGGTAGCAAAGAATGCAGGCACTTGAAACTTAAAGCTGTGGTGGATACATCTCTTCCCCTTATCAGAGGCACGGTAGTGAAACTGAATAGACAGAGCAGATGTGTTGAGTTCCGTTACGAAAAATGTGCTGATTTTTGCTATGGCTGCGGAATCATATGATATAACGATAAATCATGCTGTTCTAAATCTGGATTACCTAAAGAGAACTCCAAGCCTCAGTTTTGAGCTTGGATAAAAGCCCAAAATAAAGGAGGTTCACCGATAAAAAAGACAGGAATCAAACAGAAATGATGAATCCCATAGCTCACAATCTCTTATTTGAGGGAGAATACTTCGTTAATCCAGGGAAGGGGATGCAACCCGGAGCCATTACCAGCAGTGCTCCGGAAGGGATGAAAATATTGATCCAACGGAAATTGCCATGGATATGGAAAGTGCTAGCGGTGAGACCACAACTCCTCCCATTCTTCCCAAATTGCCGACATTGACTGCAGCTGTGGAGAGTGAACATCGAGTGCCGGCAGCTAAGTCTAAGAAAACAAAAGGGGGAAAACAATTCAGGGTCACTCGCTAAGATCGAAAAGGCTAACAAGGACAACAACCCAGTCTTAAACTAATTATGTACATTTGAATGTACTATGCAGCTAAAATCTATATAAACTTACTTCTAACCATTTGTTGTCAAACACATGTTAGTCCCTCCATGTCTCTTTGACTTCTTCTTATTTATTCTAACAAAACAAAATATATAGAAGAACAAATTAGAGTAAGGAGTTCTAATCTATGCCTAACCAGAGAGTGTAGTGTTTATGGAATAACACAGGATATTTATAGGTTAGACTGGAGACCCTTACTAACAAATACCCAAATTCCCGGGGTTTCCTTCCATCAAGGAAATCTTGCCATAATTCATAATTGAGAATAATATCTCCGACTAATTTATTGATTTGATTGATTAACTGATTGAATGAGACATTAATTAGCAGAATATATCAAGCAATCATTATCGAATGGGAGATACTAATTAATTATTAGTAAAATGTCAATCAATTAATCACGATATCAATCACTTTAGAATCAATCATGTGGGTCATAATTAGCTCTAAAAGATGCAAATTTTACACCTAGATCTCCTCCTCTTATGGCTATCGATATAAACACGGATTTTTCAAGTGTGTTGGAAAAAAGAAAGCTTCCCCACTAAGGCCGAAGAAGACCAAATGCCAACTGCTGGGGGCATAAACAAAAGAAGTGAAATAGGTGTGTCATTAACCAATTAAAATAGCTAGACAAGGGCCCCCGTTTCCCATTTATTTTTTACTGATGACTCTTTGATATTTTGTAAAGCTTACTCTGAAGAAGCTAGACGGATTGGTAAAACTTTTCAGTGTATGAACATGCTTCAAGCCAGTAGATCAGTGTTGGCAAATCTGCGGTCTTTTTCAGCAAAAATACCAGCCCCAGGAATATTAAGGAGTTGAAGCATCAGGTAGGAGTTCAATGTCACTACAAGAAATTTAGACTTTTCGTGACAAGTCAAAACAATTGTGACTATATAGATAGTGATTCTCATTTACAAGTTATAAGATCAATTGTGATTTGTAGTGAATTTTATTTCTATTATTTGTGACTTAAAAACCATATTTTTTGTGACTATTATCAATTTCATATCATAAGAAATAAGCTTTTTGTGATTTGCAACTATTTGACAAGTCGTGAAAAGTTTAAATTTCTTGTGGTGGGTGTAACACAAGGAGAATATCTCGGCTTGCCAATGGAAATTTGTGGATCCAAAAACAGTGTGTTCAAATTTTTAAAGGAAAACATGAGTGCTTGGGTCCAGAATTAGAATGGTAAACTGCTTAGAATGCTGGTAAGGAAGTCCTCCTTAAATCTGTTGCTCTCGCTCTCCTTTCTTATGCTAGCTCTTGCTCTCCCTTCTCATGCTATGTTCGTTTTCAAATTATCTGATATTCTCTATAAGAACCTCAATGGTACTATGGCAGACTTTGGTGGGGAGATAACCAAGGGGAAAGGAAAATGCATTGGAAAAAGTGGTATGACGTATCTCAAATTAAAGGTGAAGGTAGGCTTGGCTTTAGGAATATTCGCTTTTTTAATGTTGCCTTGCTAGCTAAACAAGTTTGGAGATCATCACCTCACTAAATTTTTTAGTTAGCAAAGTGATGAAAGGCAAATATTACCCTAAAGAGTCCATTTTTCGTTCCCAAGTTAAAGCAAGTGCTTCTTGGGTATGGCAAAGCTTACGTAGCTCTTTGGATATGCTGGAAAGTGATATTTGCAAATAGGTGGAAACTGGAAAAACTATCAACATATGGAAGGACAAATGGGTGGAAGGCTTTAACAATGAGAAAATCAACTCAGAAAGACCAGAGGGATGCCAGGTAGTAATGCTTAGCAACCTGATTAGTGGCTAAGTGGAGCACGAACATGATCTGCTCCTTATTCGCAGAGGAAGAGGCTGAAGCTAACCTACAAATTCCTTTGAACGTCTTCGGGGAAAAGATAGGTGCAGATGGCAGCACATAGCAAATGGATCCTACTCAACTAAGTCAGGCTATGTGAAAGCCAAGGAGAGACAAAAGGAGAAAGCCGAGGCCATTAAAGCACAAGTGAACTTCAGCAGAAATAAGGGGAAATCAAAAGTTTGGAGCCAGTTGTGGGATTGAATATTAAACACAAAGTTAAGCATTTTCACTGGACGTGCCTTCACTGTGTTCGACCCACTAATAAGGAGATTTTCATGAGTACAGGTAAAGGCGACCCTTTATGCAAACGTTGCGGGGAAGCCCCTGAAACTTTAGAACATGCTTTACTCCTTCGCAAAGCTGTAGAGTTTGCCTGGGATGGCATCAATGGACATAAATGGAACTTCTGGAATTGGTGGGAATCAATGCAAGAAGCAAGGTCAAGAGTTGAAGGGAAAGAACACATTGAACTCACTGCTAACTTGCTCTGGCAGTTATGGAAAGCAAGAAATGATTGGTCTTTCAATCATGAGCATAAGGACAGCCATTAAATTTATTTCCAAGAAAGCTGTGGAAGACTAGATTGTATTCAAAGAAGCTGACAAGAATACTAATATTGCTGCTGAAGATAAAAAACTGGGAGAAGATAGGCAAGGCATGCTACCTGGGTTACTAATGCAACATTTTACCACAATGTACACTGATACAGCCTTAAGCTAGATCAATCCCAAAGCTGGGATGGGAATTGAAGCCAAAAATGGAAACATCATCACAACCTGGTCCAAATCGTGTCCAAATGCAAACGATGCAGCAATATAAGAGGCTATTACCACTAGAATTGCTCTAGATAACGCATGTAGAAACCAAATTTAGGGTTCTAATAATAATTGATGCATGTAAGATTACAAAATTAAAGGACTGAAACAATTACTCAAAATATTTATGCAAGAGAGAAGAAAATGAATAATTCACACTATTATTGAAATATCAAGCAATGGAAAAAAACCACTCCACAGTAAAACTTTACAGACTCTTCTGAATGTTTTAGGAAAATATTCTAAATAATGTCTTGTTTATAACTTATCAAACTTGTTGAGTAATAGAATTCTAGCCAACAAAATTTTCAACAACAATTTCTTTTTCTTCACTTATCAAATCAAAATTTTCTTCTTCCTTTACCAAATCAATGTATTCTTTTTGTGACGACCCTACCTCCCCCTAAGGCGTACCCCTGTAAGGATCCACGACAACCTAAGAAGGAGGTGAATTAGGCTTATTAAGAACCAATCAAGTTATGGGCGCTTTTTGTCCAATATGAAATTTATCCTCTTTTCTAAGTGATCACATAATAAAT